GCAGTCTCAGAGGTGCCACAAGATCTGTCCCCTCTTTCTATGGGGACAGCAGCATCACAGGCTGTTGGGTTTTTTTTAACAGATGAGGAAACCGGGGTGTAGAGACTAGTCATAAACCCCAAGAGGTTGGGGAGATACAGAATGAGATCCAGGTCTCTTTGGGCGTGTTCATGTCACAAGTCAGCATGAATTCTGGGGTTCTGGGGGCTTCCTGGGGACAGTTGCTCAGGGTGCATGATGCTGAGTTTGTCCTACCTATGGTGTCTCAGGATGGGGAGGCAGCGAGAGTGCCCAAGGCCAGAATTTGGAGGATGAGGACTGGATCTCTTGGGGAGAGGGGTTGTTGCTGGGGACGGTCCCATTGACGACTCTATCTTTGGGGGGTCCCTGTGATGCCACTAGGAGAAGGTGTCACTAAGGGATGTGGGAGGGATGGGTGAAGGAGATCATTTCACAGGTATCGGTGACGGTGTTCACCTCTTGGCTGTGGTGTGGGAGGCGTCTTTTACCCCGTTCCCACCTGCCTTTCCTTCAGTAGCTCCAGGTCTCACCTGGACGAGTGACGGAGGTCCCAGGAGTTGGGTGGCTTCCCCAGGTGGGACAGGATATGGGTGATGGTTTGGGTGTCCACCACCATGCCCCCCCACCCCAGCTCCCCAGGTACCATCTCACCCTTGAGTTTCTCCCCAAACATGGTGAGGAACACGGTGAAGTTGATGGGGCCGGGTGCCTCCTTTATCATCTCATCGATCTCCTCGTTTTTTACATTCAGACGCCCTAGGGGAGAGCAGCGCTGGGTGAACCGCGTGTCCATGGCCAGCTGCAGATGCATGCAGACCTCCAGGCTCTGCTTGATGTGCCGGGGACTAAAGGACACCCCACGGGATGTTTTTCCTCGACCCAAGGGAAGCATTAGTGGGAAAGGGAGAAGAATGTGCTGGCAGAGGATGATGGGGCTGGACATCTCCAGATCTGGTTTCTTGGGCTCCAGGATCCCAGAAAAGAGGGCAGCAAAGGTTGGAGCTGTGCTGCTTCCTTCCCTTGCCACACTGCCCCATGGACCAGCCTGCTTCTGTCCTCCTTGGAAGATGTTTTGGGTCAAAACCACTGCATTGTGGTTCCCCCTAGTGTCAGAACTGAACAGGACTGACCACCTATGTCCTTTTACTTGAGGTTGGACTCCCCAGCCTCGTTGCTGTTTCGTGCTGGCCTCTGTGATGGGAGAGCCAAGCTCAGAGTTTCACAGCTTCCCACAAATCCCGTAAATCCCCCTAATGCCCGTCCACCCAGCGATGCTATGGGATGGGCACAAACAGGGGCTCCTTAGCATGGGAGAAGGCAGGGAGCATGTGGCTGGCTTTAGCGATAGGATGAGGGGGAACAGTTTTAATCTGAAAGAGGGGAGATTGAGATGAGATATTGGGAAGAAACGTTTCCTGTGTGGGGGGTGAGGCAGTGGCCCAGGTTGCCCAGAGAAGCTGTGGATGCCCCATCCCTGGAGGGGTTCAAGGCCAGGCTGGATGAAGCGTTGGGCAACCTGGGCTAGTGGGAGGTGTCCCGGCCCATGGCAGGGGGGTTGGAACTCAATGGTTTTTAAGGTCCCTTCCAACCCAAACCATTCTGTGATTCTATGATTCTATAATCCGGGATCTCGCTCTTCTCTAGAGGATTAAACCTACAGGATTAAACACTGGCTGCTGCGGGAGCTTCTCCGATCACCCCGCCTGGGATCTCACCAGCTGACAGAAGTGGTTTGGGATCAGGAGGTTTTCAGGAAAGCAGGAGATCCAGTTAGCTGCTGGGGCTTGCTTAATGGGAGCTCGCAGCTGGTTTCTCACTTAAAAGGTGTAATGTTGTTGAAGCTTTTGGGGAGGGTCCTAACGGGGGGCTCACCGAGTGCGGCAAACGTGTCTCTCAGATCCGCCTTGTCGATGAAGCCGTCCCGGTTCTGATCCATGATGGTGAATGCCTGGAAGCACAGGAGGAGGGCAGGGAGCACAGGGAGAGCTGTCAGCCTTTGCTTAACACCCTCCTCTTCCTCCTCCTCCCTTCAACTTGGGTGGGACAAGGGCCCCCAGGATGGCGCTTTGGGGGTCCTCACCCAGCGAGGGAGCAACACCATGTCTCCAAGTTGTTATTTGCACTTTTAAAAGAAAACGACTCAAAACCAGGCATGCAGCCTCTTGTTGCAAAGCAGCTGCCACCGCTCCGAAAGCACCGAGAAAGGAGCTGAAGGTCACATTGCGTCAAGGACCCTCGGTCGTTCCTACCAAACCCACCTACCTCTTTGAATTCCTGGATCTGGGCCTGCTCGAACATGGAGAAGACGTTGGAATTAGCACCTTCAATCCTCTTCTTGGCTTTCTTGGGTGCCTGCAGGGGTTCAAGTACGTATCATTAACTCTCTGGCTTTTTATGGTGCGGAATAAACGCAAGAAACTGCCCTACACTCAGTCCTGAGTCCTTCACGGTGGTTTCCCCGGGCATTGCTCAGGAGCTCTGGGCATGCACAGCCCTCCAAGATATGGTGGGGCGTTAAGATTCCTGCTTAAATTACAGCTCTGTCTTTGCTTTCCTGATGAATTTAGCCAAATGAAAGATGAGTTGGGAAATTTCTTCCCCACCAAAGGCTGCTGCAAAGGATCAGCATGGGGTGAGATCTTCCTGGATGGAAATCCAGATTTAGGAACGTGCTGCTGAGGTTGCACGCAGGGGCTGTAGTCGTTAGGTGCTTCCTTACCCTGCTGTGCCTCTCGCTGAGAACGCAGCACTTAATAAATTTTTTTTGCTTATTAAAAAAATCTGCCTCCTCCTGCACTGAGGCTGGAAACAACCACAAACGGCTCAATGTGTTGTTTAAAGAGGAGCGGAGGACAGAGCTGCTCACCCTCCCGCCCTGCCCAGCATCCCTCCTCCCAGCCTTTCCCTCTAATTGGGGGGTCTCCCAATAGGAGGCAGATCAGGAGCATTTCGGGGGACACAACGCCCCTTCCTCTCGCTGCATGGAGGAAGGAAAAACAGAAAGATGGCATTTAGACCCTGAAATGGTCTGCCCCAGTGAAAAAATTCTGCTAGCATGGGATTGACCCCTCTGTTCCCCATGGGATGCTGCCGACGCACCCCGATGCTCGCCTTGCTCCCCCCTTTCCAGCACAGGAGGGACCCTTGCCCATCAGATCCCTGTCACCTCCATCACTCCCTGTGCCTTAAAGCTATCCCGGTGGAAAAGCTCGTGGATTTTTCCTTTTCGCCCTGGAGCTCGGGGCTCTGGGTACTCACCATGGCTCCGCACAGCCACCGATGTCGCAGCGAGAGGTGTCTGGGAGGCAGTCCTTCACCTCCCCCTGGGCGGAAAGAATAAATATATCCCGCTCGGGGTTAAAAATAACCCCATGCCCACTTTTGGCTGTAATAGGTAAGTTAGCTGCCCCCAAGCCTCTTGTCTCCGGCTTTCTCTGTCCCTCTGTGTCTAATCTGGAATAGCAGCTTGTCGCTGTCACCGGCTGACGTGACACATGAGCCAGAGCGGGTTCCAAGGTTAACAAAGTGCCAGCGGCCCCGCAGCTCCCACGCCGGAGATGCTGACCCACGGCGAAACCGCACAGGAGCAATCCCACCTGCGTGTGTCAGTCGGGCTGGCGCCAGGCTTTTCCCCTCCGCTGGGACATGCGGGGATGATTTGGCCCAAGGGGATCCCCGGCTACAGTCCCCCCAAGCCTTGGGACGTGGATGTGTCCCCATGGTCCTGCTGGGCATCTTTGGGAGCCGTCGCTTCCCATCACAGCATCTGATGGCAGAGCTGGGCGCTGCTCTGGGAGCACCGGGGTCCCACCGCTTGCGGTACTCAAAGAGCAAAGAGGTTGTGTGGCCGAAGGGGACCCTCCCTGCTGCCCCACACCCCATCTGAGAGCCCTGGGACGAGGCTGGAGGTGGATGCTGAGCTCCCGCAGAGCCAGGCAGGCATGCAGGGCTCCTCTGTCATGTGTCACCCCCCACCGAGGCACCTGTCACCCCGTTAAGCCAAACACTTGCTCTCCCTGGTCCCAGCAAGACGCACACCATTAACTCTCCCCATCCCGGATGCTGGCAGCCGGTGCGGGGCCACATCCTGCACTCACACCGCTGGGACACAGCAGGTCACCAGCCCGGGGACAGCATGGCCACCGTGTCCACAGGCTGCATTTCTGCAGCGGGAGCCACCGACCCCATGGGCAGGCAGGCAGCAATCCTACAAAACCTCTGCCAGGGTCTGCAACATGTCCCCAGCGCCCTTGCGGAGCAGAACCGTCAGTGATCGGGGCAGTTCTGTTTGGGCTTCAATATTTTTCAGCCTGCTAATTTTATCCCCCCTCCCTCTCACCTGGTCCTGGCGGCATGGGTGTGCTGGGGTGGGAATGGCACAGAGTGGGGCAACAATGCCCATCAGCTGCCACCGCAGCCCCCCAAGGAGTGGGGAGGGCTGGGACAGGGCTGGGAACAAAAGGGAGGATGAAACCAGACCCCTGGAGCTCCAGGCTCTGCCCAGATCCTGCCCTCGATGCCCCAGAGGACACAAATCCTGGGTTTAATCCCTGGCACTCACCACTTGGTCCCACCTCGATGCCACGGCCGAGCCGGCAAGGATGGCGTTAGGGGAGGATTTAAGTGGGCGGCAGGGAAAAGTACCCAGAGAGGAGAAAACTCCTGATCCAGGAATGACCGCCTTGCCTGGGGCTGCAGCGGGGTGAAGGGATTTCAGGATGGGTTTGGGGTCTGTCCGAGCTATAGCGTGGGTGGGAGCTGAGGGGCAGAGCTGGGGTGAGGAGCAGCCCTGGGCACAGCTGGGGATGAGTGAGATCAGTCTCAGTGTGGATGCTCGCTCCTCCTGCCAAGTTCAGCTGGATCCATCGGCCAGCCGAGCCCAATTACCTTAATTTGTGGCATTAAGGAAAAATCCATAAGCATCAGGGAAGTGATGTGTAGTGGCTGAACGGGAGCGGCGGGCCGCAGACCCGCCGGCACCGCCTGGGCACTGCCCGTCCCTGGCTCTGTGTCCAGCCCTGGAGCCATGGAAATTTCCCAGAATTTTTTCATTTTGGGGGGAAAGCACCATTTCTGCCTACCCAGCCTGGAACAGGGCAGAGCTCGGTCTCTCCCTGGTGTCGCCCACGCTGTGGCTGGGGGTGAGATGGTGGCTGGGGGTTTTGGGGGGCTGGCTGTGCTGAGCACAGCACAGAAATGCTGGCCGGGGATGGGGTGCAGCTGGCTGCCTGTGCTTCTGCTGTAATTTGTAAGACGGTGCATCTGCTCCGCTGCTCACTTTGTGCTGTCAGATGTAATCGTCTGTGCCACGCGGGCCGGATCCTGCCCCTCCGGTGAGGATCCTGGACCAGCCTGGGGATGGAGGCAGCTCCAGGCACATCTTTTCCTTCTCCTGCTGTGGATATTGGGGGATTTCGCAGCATCCAGGAAAACAGGAGTGCTTTAAAGATGTATGGATGCACGTATATGCCTATAGGGCTCCGTAGGGAACAAAAGAGCTGTTGGGAAGTGGCTGCAGCCGGTGAATGGATGTCA